ATGGTGATATAACAATGATGCTTCAGTCTCTATGTAAGCAGTATGAGAATCTCAACATGAAGAATAATAAGAACGTACCTGATTACATCTCTAGAATGATTCTAATCACAAATAAGATGAAATCTTATGGAGAGATTCTCTTTGAATAAGTAATCATTGAAAAAGTACTGAGATCACTTACTCCTGAATTTTATTACATTGTTGTAGCAATTAAACATTTTAAAGACCTTATCACCATGAGAATCAAAGATCTGCAGAGCAGTCTAGAGGCACAAGAGTTACGTCTGACTGAGAGAACGTCTAAAAGAGAGGTAGATCAGGCTCTGAAGGCGTCTTCTAGTAAGAAGAATCAGAAGAGGTCTTGGTCAGAGGCCAAGAAGAGACATGGTGGTACTTATCAAAAGTCATAAGTATCCAACTCTGATGAGAAGAAACATCATAAGAGAAAGGAGAAGTTTGACAAGAAGAAGGTCCAATGTTATTGTTGTAAGAAGTTTGGTCACTTTGCTGATGACTGTTGGTCAAATAAGGAAAGAAAATCAGAAGAAGCAAACATAGCCAAAGGAGAGTGATGATAAAATTATGATATTTATGGCTTCTAAATCAGATGGTAGGTATTTGGTAGACTGGTGGTATATGAACACTGGCTGCTTAAATCACCTAACTAGAAATAAATAATGACTGCTCAAATCGGATGGTAGGTATTTGGTCATAAGTATTTGAATGCATGAAAGGCAAAAAAACCAAGATTTCCATTTGCATTAGAAGTAGCTTCAAGAGAAAAACATGTTTTAGGAGTAGTGCATTCTGATGTATGTGTACCATTTGAAGTACCTTCACTTGGAGGAAACAAGTACTTTGTGTCTTTTGTGGATGATTTCATAAGAATGACATGGGTAGCACTCATCAAGTTTAAGCATGAGGTGTTTACTGAATTTCAGAAGTTTAAAGTGAAAGCTGAAAAACAAAGTAGTCAGAAGCTGAAAATTATCAGAACTGATGGTGGAAGTGAGTACAACTCTATAGAGTTCAGAAGGTTTTATGAGGAGAATGGAATTGAGCATGAGGTTACAGCTCCATGCACTCCTCAACATAATGGTATTTCTGAAAGAAGAAACATAATTTTGCTTGATATGACAATGAGCATGAGGAAGGAGAAGAAGCTCCCTCGCACCTTGTGGGGAGAAGCTATTGTCACTGCAACATATATGCTTAATAGATGTCCAACTAAGAAGCTGAAAGAAATTGTTCCTTTTGAGAAGTGAACTGGAGATAAGAAAAGTGTGAGCCATCTAAAGGTGTTTGATTCTATTTGTTATAAACATGTCCCAGATGCTAAGAGAAGGAAGTTGGATGACATAAGCAGGTTCTTGTTGCTTGTAGGGTACCATAGTACATGTCCTTCAGAAGAATGGGATTGGAACAAGTCTCAATCCAACTCTGGTGCAGTGTTAACACCTGAGTTAACTTTTGAAGATATTTTAGATTCTACAGAAGAATCTGCCTCTGAAGGAGATTCTGAGTCTAAAGATGAGTCAGGGTCTAAAGGTGACTCTGATGTAGAATAAGAGTCTGAAGGCGAGTCTGACTCTGAAGGTGAATCTGATTCTGATCTATATTTTGATGATGATTAAGACTATGGTGGTAATCATGCCTTTGAAGGTGGACCAGCCTCTGAATGTAGTCCAACGTCTGATAATGTTCCAGCATTTGAAGGAGATTCTGATCAAGTTCAGATACCACAAAGAATCAGAAAAATACCAAGATTTGTAGAGTTTGACATGTTACAAGATACTGAGATAGACTCTGAAGATGAATTCATTCAGTGTGCCATGTTGGTAGACTCTGAACCAGAAAGTATTGAAGAAGCTCTCAAGAAGAAAGTGTGGTTGAAGGCCATGAAAGAAGAACTTGAGGCTATAGAAAGAAACAAGACGTGGGAGTTGATTGAGATTTCAAAGGATAAGAAATCCATCAGTGTAAGACGGGTTTACAAGGTGAAACTAAATCCAGATGGATCAATTGACAAACACAAAGCAAGGTTAGTATCTAGAGGATTTCTATAAAAATCTAGATTAGACTACTTTGAGGTGTTTGCTTCTGTAGCTAAACATGAATCAATTAGATTGGTAATTTCTATAGATGCTAATAAAAATTGGCCTCTAATGAATTTAGATGTGAAATCTGCATTTCTAAATGATCTTTTACAATAGGAAGTTTATGAATTACAACTTTCTGGATTTGTAAAAAAGAAACAGGAAGGGATGGTGTAAAAGTTGCATAAAGCCTTGTATGGAATAAAACAAGCTCCTAGATCGTAGAATCTGAAAATTGATTCATTTTTCAAGTTTCAAGGGTTCAGAAAATGTGAGATGGGGTATGGCGTTTATGTTCAGCATACATCTGATACAAATATGATTCTGTTGTGTCTTTATGTTGATGACATATTGCTAACTAGGAGTTGTTCATATGAGATAGCTAATTTCAAGAAGATGCTGATGAATGAGTTTGAGATGACTGATTTAGGAAATAGGACATATCTTCTAGGGATGGAGATATGTACTTTAATAAGGGTATAATCTTGCATCACCTGAAGTATGAACTTGAACTTTTGAAGAGATTTGAGCTTATGAATTGCAAGTTTGCAATCACAACTGCTGAAACAAATCACAAGTTGGATTGTGATGTTAAGGGTGATGATGTAGATGCTATAATTTTTAAATAGCTAGTAGGCTCATTGAGATATCTCTGCGATACCAGACCTACCATCTGTTATGCAGTTGAAATGGTGAGTAAGTTTATGAACAAACTAAAGTGGTTGCATTACCAAGTTGTTGTCATGATACTGAGGTATATTAAGGGAACTCTGAAGTATGGAGTTTTCCTCCCTTCTTATGCTAAATCTGAGTCAGGAGTGATATGTTATTCAAACTCTGATTGGTCTGGAGACAGATAAGATAGAATAAGTACTTTTGAATATTTCTTTAAGTATCTGGGAGGTCTTTTCTTGGTGCTCCAAAAAGCAATCAGTAGTTGCACTATCAACCTGTATGGATTCTAAACTTGTTACAAGATCTAAAGATCAAGGTGATCAAGTCCATGAAGTTGATGATTGACAACAAATTAGCAATAAGCTTTGCCAAGAGTCCAATGTTGCATGGAGGAAGCAAGCACATTGGCACAAAGTTCAATTTTTTGTGCAACTATGTTTAGAGTGGAGTGTTTGAATTTGTTCAATGTAGCACTCAGGAGCAGCTGGCAAATATGTTGACCAAAGCAATCAAAACTGAATAATTTATCCAGTTGAGGGATGGAATTAGTGTTATTGATTTTGATTAGCTGAATATGAATTAAGGTATGATGTTAGATATAATTCATTTTCATTTGAGTTGCATTTAGAGTTTAATTTGACTTGCATTTGAATGTCATTTAGGTTCTGATAGTAAATAAGCCAAGTTTCAGTTTTGTGAATTAGTAGTAACAGAGTGTAACCATTTTCTATTTTGAAAGTTAGTTACTAATTTACATTTTCTCTCTTCTATCTTCATTTTCTTCATCTTGAACCTTGTGCACCAACACATGTCGCTTGCTCAACAACCTGTTAGCACTGTGCAAAATAACTTCAACACCACCTAATACTCAGACCCTAAACTTGAAGTCATTGAGATATCATATCGTATCCTTACTGACCCCTTTTCATTGCAACCTTGGATACCATCTGTCTCCCAATAGAACCCACAACAATTGATCTTATCCAACCATCAGGCTTTAATAACAGCGTCAAAGGTGTTGAGGCAACTGACTCTGCCAAACTCATCAGGCATCTCCTTTTCATCCATAGGTTAACAACTAGAGTGATTGCACACAAGAGATCTCTAGACACAACATAACCTTCTCTACATAGTGCGTTCAATAAATGTTGAGCCAATAAATCATCTCTACCACATGAAGTTCCTTTGGGGAATGACTTAATGCACATGAAAACGGTATCAACTTCAACCACTATAAAAGCTTTAAAGAATCAAATGGTTGACATGGAGGGAGGTGGTTTGTACAAGTGTTTAGCCTCCCAAACCTTCATAGTATGTGTATTATAAAAGGCTACACCATATGACCCAAATACTTTCATAGCTGTCGTGAAGTGATCATTTGCAACTTTACGAAGGCATTGCTTGCTGTTGGAGCTCAGCTTTGCATCTTTCTCCCCAATATGAGCTCCCTCGTTACCTAACTTATCTTGCTAAAAACTGTCAAACACACACTATCAACTAACTTGACATGCTAAAAATTGTCAAACACACACTATCAACTAACTTGACAAGACCATCTGTATCTCTCTAAATAGTTAACCACTCCTAAATGTAGTGTTACAAGATTTTCTGATTTCTAAACCTGTTATCCTGCCTAAAGTTTGAATCTCGTTAGTCTAAATAAATTTAATTATGAGATTTTTTTTAAAGCTTTGTTACATTAAAGTAGCATCAACTACTCATCCTAATTTTTTATTTTAAAAATAAGAATAGGCTGCAAATAAAACTAAAATCAAGTTTAGTAATAGTTAATAGTTGATGTAAAACAACACATAAGTGAATCAAATTTTGTTTTAGCCCCGTAGAGGCTGGATTGATCTAGTTCTACTAGTGTTGTTTTAGGAAATATTTGGTGTTCACCAAATATTGATAGTAGTAATAATAAATGCATGCATGGATATATATCTCTACTAATTTGTTTACACGTAACACTTCTATCAACCAAACAGTGACTTTGTAAAAAGACCAAAAATTCCCAACAACCTTTCCTAAATCCCATCCATTCCTTACATATATATACACCAATTATCTCTCCTTAAACTTCAAACCAAACCAAAACTTGCTTAAAGTTCCCCAAACAACACACACTCACACAAACCATACAATAATTTTAGTAACATACACACACACACACATTTCTATTGTCAAAAAGAAGGAAGAAAAATATACATATATACACATTTCATTATTATGATATCGTTTATTAAGAACATGATGATGGAAATGGATACAAATACATTTCCACTGTTGTTCACTCTAGCAGCTTCACTCATTGCATACTTATTATGGTTCCATTTACTAGCACGAAACTTAACCGGTCCAAAAGTTTTCCCATTTTTCGGTAGCCTCCCGGTTCTCTTCTTGAACCGGAACCGGGTTCACGACTGGATAACCTCAAACCTAAACCAAACCGGAGGTTCATCAACTTATCAAACATGCATCCTCCCTTTCCCTTTCTTGGCAAACAAACAAGGCTTCTATACAGTCACAAGCAACCCAAAAAACATCGAACACATCCTCCGAACCCGGTTCGATAATTACCCAAAAGGACCCACGTGGCAAACCGCTTTCCACGATCTTTTAGGACACGGAATCTTTAACAGCGATGGTGACACGTGGCTGGTTCAACGCAAAACCGCTGCACTGGAGTTTACCACTCGAACCCTTCGCCAAGCCATGGCTCGCTGGGTTAACCGAACCATTAAAAACCGGTTATGGTGTATTTTAGACAAAGCCGCAAAAGAAAAAGTTAGTGTTGATTTACAAGACCTTCTTTTACGGCTAACTTTTGATAACATTTGTGGACTCACTTTCGGTAAAGATCCGGAAACACTCTCACCGGATCTACCCGATAACCCGTTTTCTCTTTCTTTTGATTTTGCCACAGAAGCTACATTGCAAAGACTACTTTACCCCGGACTCTTCTGGAGGTTCCAGAAGGTTCTATCTCTTGGCGCTGAGAAGAAACTGAAACAGAGTTTGAAAATTGTTGAAACTTACATGAACGACGCCGTTTCAGCTCGCGAGAAATCTCCCTCTGATGATCTTCTCTCACGGTTTCTGAAAAAACGCGACGGTAATGGAAAACCATTTGACGCCGGGAAACTGAGACACATCGCGCTGAATTTTGTTCTCGCCGGGAGGGATACTTCCTCGGTGGCGTTGAGTTGGTTTTTCTGGCTTGTAATGAATCATCCAAGCGTGGAGGAGAAGATTCTCGCTGAGTTGACAGCGGTTTTGGCTGAAACTCGAGGCGAAGATTGTCGTCGGTGGACGGATGAGGCGGTGGATTTTGAAGAAGCTGATAAGCTTGTTTATCTGAAAGCAGCGTTGGCTGAGACGCTGAGATTGTACCCCTCTGTGCCGGAGGATTCTAAATATGCGGTTGAGGATGATGTTTTGCCGGACGGAACTGTGGTTCCGGCAGGTTCAACGGTGACGTATTCGATATATTCTGTGGGGAGGATGAAGAGTGTGTGGGGTGAAGATTGCATGGAGTTTAAACCGGAAAGGTGGTTATCGGTTCAGGGAAACCGGTTCGAACCGCCAAAAGATGGGTATAAGTTTGTGGCTTTTAATGCTGGACCGAGAACTTGTTTGGGCAAGGATTTGGCTTACCTTCAGATGAAATCTGTTGCGGCTGCTGTGTTGATTCGTTACCGGCTTTTGCCCGTTCCCGGTCATAAGGTTCAGCAGAAGATGTCTCTCACACTTTTCATGAAGTATGGGTTACGTGTGTTCTTGTATCCACGTCAGCTTCAGAAAGACAACTCTGCCGTGTCTTATTGATATGGTCGTACGCTGTACAAAGGGCAATGTGGTCATTTAATTACTATACATATTTCAATTTGTTTGTCTTTCCCTTGTTGTTAAACTATTATTAATATTTACTGATGTTATTGGGAATGGGATAGTGTGGTTGCTTCTAGTTGGTTGATTTCAGTTGAGTCATGGGTGGGTCAAATTTGAGTTTACATTTGTTGAAGAAAAAGGTGTCATTTGATTTTTATGTTTCATACAAGGTCCATTTCATATGGCTTTCAATATTCATAGTTTATCAATAATATTTATAATACATTAATTCATACAACATATATAATTTATCAAATCACTCTCTTAGTCTCTAAATATAAGATTTTTTAAGAGTTTTTTAAAATTATTTTGTACAATATTTTCTGTTTATTTGCATTAATTATTTGTTCCACATATACTATTTATTTTATTTTTTCTACAATTAAAAATATTAAAAGAGTAATAAATGTATGCTTTTTTAAAATATAATTTTATAAAAAATAAAATTAATTATTGTTGAATTTATTTATTGTTTACTAAAAAAATACTTATAACATATGAATGAATATTGATAGCAATTTAAAGGTTTATTGGAATGTAAAAATTAATAAATAAGTGTGATGATAAATCTCAAAATATTATTTTTGATGTTGATTTATTAAAGATTTTATTTGAAGAAGTTTCTTTAATATTTTTATTGGATGATGATTTTTCAGAAGATCATTCGTCTTTGAGATTGTTCATTCAAAAAATTATATAGGTATTGATCTTTCACTTTTATTTTTGAGTATTCTTTTTGATGAAGTCGATGATGATGAGAAATGTGAAGATTTTTCTTCTTCTTCCTTGAATAACTGATCAATTCCTTAAGTTTTTTTATGACTTCCTTCTTTCTAGATTCTTCTCGAGTCTTAACAAAGCCACCACTATATTTTAAATCGAGGGTTGAATAAGATTTCTAATACCAACTCTTAATTCTTAAATAGTTAAATACAAAATTTATAATATAACATCTAACCTCCATGGGTTTCAATGGTTTAGTGTCATCTATAAGGATGATTCTCATATTCATTTGGTGTAGTGATATATTTGTAAAGGCCTGTGACAAGGCAACATCAGGTCAAACCTCATAAGGCGATTGTTATAGAATATGGAGGCCATATATAACCCTCATTCTGCTGGCTACTCACCTTGATGAGGAACGTGAGGGTTACATGTGCATATTCTATAAATGGTGTGCATGAAGTCCATGTTATAATTCCTTACAGAATAGGTAGTCAACAGGTTCCCCAATCAAAGTAGAATGGTTACTACGTCCCAAGGTCCCCCAATCCAAGCCCAAAAAAAGCCTCTATAAATATCTCAACTCTAAGGTTGAGGGGGGAAAGTTCTGAATACACACAAAATACCTTGAGAATATATAACTTCTCACCTCATGTGAGATTGTTCAATCCATAGTCAAAAACACAATTGAATAGAGTTTCTCACCACTGTGAGCAAGTCCTAAACTACCAAAAATCCTTAAAGCCTCTAATCACCCATACCAACATAGAGGTTCCGTGTATTTGTACTTTTTGACAAGTACAATGGGGTCCACCATTGGGCTCAGTAAAACTAACATGAACCACACCTTCATTTATCGCCTCTATTGCAACATTCACCAAAACATGAGATGAATTCTCTAGTAAATTCTTCACTGGATTAACTAGTTGTCATCAATGAAAAGTTTGTGGATTTTGAAGAGTTGTTTAAACTAGGTTTTAACTTTTGGAAGACAGTTTCTGAAACAAGGTTGAAATGCTATGTAGCTTTACTTACCCAAATCTTGTCAAAGAATTTTGGGTTAATGCATCCATTATTGAGTTAAATTCTGAGTATGTTATCATTTCCAAGGTTCCTGGTGTTTCTGTAAGAGTAACCTCTAAGATGATTTCTAATGCAATCAACTGTGAAGAGATTGGAGAAATCCCAAGTACTATTGTTTGGGAATACTATCTTCCTACTTGGCGTACTTCTGTAGATCCATAAAACCTTTCTCATGTCTTAAATTTTCGTCCTAATGCAAGTGTTTGGAATCAGATTCTAAACTCAAGCTTGCTACCTATCGACAAGGATCTAGACCTTGTGGATTTTATTAAAAAAGATTTGCTACTTCTTCTCACTTCAAACATACAGATTGATCTACCTCAAGTTATGTCTGACCATTTGAAAAAGACTTTTTCATCTTTTCACAAGGGAAAGACATTCTTCATTCCTTATAAACGAGTTCTTTCTGAACTATTGATTCAACAAGGAGTTTTCGTAACATCAGAGAGTGATTCTTCTAAAATCTGGAGAGATAAGTTTGAAGCTATCTATGTGTAGCACCCCAAAATTTTCCCATTCGTTTTAACCTTAACTGGATTTTGTTTCTCTGCTTTGCATTTCTGTATATCATAGAATTTGTTCTTGAGGCATGGGATCAAGGTGTTTATGTGGCTCAAGGTTTCCTTTTAGTGCAAGAGTTTAAACAGTAAGCATCAGAGGCTCAGACATTTATTTTGCCCATCGATCGAGCGGTCGATTTTATTTTATTCAGCAGGTTAATTTTTAGCTCAGGAGATAATACACAGGTTATCTCAGGCGTTCTCACAGTTATGATATTCAAGAGCAAGTTTCAGAGGTTTAACGGGGCTCAAAACAGGTGGCAACGGGCAGTTGTACAGGATTCCCTCCACATGGCGCCAATATGGCATTTTTGAATGTGGTAACCAGTTACTGCATATAAGGTAACCGGTTACTTCAAACAAAATTGGCCAAAGAATTTGAATTTTTAGCATGTGCAATTTCCAATCATTCTTAACCATTGATTTCACTTGATCATAATTGGAAGGATCTAGAATTATTTCAATTTTCACCATTTCCCTCTAAATTTCAAACACTCCTAATTTCCATTCTAAATTCTAATCCACACTCCAAACCAAATTTTGATTCCAAACTTAGAGCTTATTTAAGTGAATTTGCTCCAAACCTCACATAATTACCTTTATTCACAAAATAACCTTCATTTTTCAGATTTCACTCTCACTCTTGAGAATTTGCTCTCATTTTTTCTCTCCACTTTCTCACTCCTAAAACCTCCATTAAAGCTCTTTCAATTGAATTCTTTGATTCTTCATTAGAATCATAGAATTCTAGAGCTAAACCTCCATCATTCATCTCCATTATCTTCAATTCACCATTTATATTTTTGTTTGATTTTGGATCTGAATCTGGAAGCTCGATTGGAAGTGCTTTTTTGAGTCGATTTTGCTTGATCTTGCTTGTTTTTCACTTCTACCATAAGGAAGCTCTTGGATCTTAAAGAATCTCTGGGTTTCTTGCTTAGATCTGCTAATTTCAAGTGAATCAACACATACCAAAGCAAATCTCAGCTTTGAAGGTTGGTGAATTCTAGATTTAATCCAATTTTGAGCTTATTTGAATAATCACAATGTAAATCCATGGTTTTTGCTGCTTTTTGATCCATTTTGTTGATTTGGATCTTGATGATTTGTGACTTCTATGTTTGGTTGTGTTTATATGATGCTTGATCACTGTTTCTTGATGATAATTTCGTGCTTGATTGATATCATGTTCATATGAGTGATTGGATAAGTTGTTGAATGCTGAAAACTAACTTTCAAAGTTGTTTTTTCTGTTTCTGGTTCAGTGGTAATCAGTTACCTTATATAGGGTAACCGGTTACTTAGTGCAAATTTCACGTTTTCAGTTGTTTTTCAATAGAGTAATCGGTTACCTTATATAGATTAATCGGTTACCACTGAGCAGAATGCTGTGTTTTTGCATTTTTCTTGCTTGTTTGGACTCCTTTTCACATGTAAACTTCATGGATTGATATGATGCATTTGTGTGAATTGTTTTGGACATATTTCATCATTCTTGAATGTTTGATCTCAATTCTTCGACGCGCGACTTTTGGTTTCCGTTTTGAATGTTCAACATGTTCATGTGATTTGTTTGATAAATGATCATTTCACTTGTTTGCTTATAGCATGTTAATTGATGATCATTGATGATTATGTTGTTGAATTTTGTGATGCATGATTGCATTTGTTTCCGTGTCCGCTTTGTTATGTGTTTGTTTGATCGGTTGATCGTCCAATTTAATTTGAAAAGAACATGTTGATCTTGATGATTCTTGTTGATACATTATTGTTGATTGATTATGTTTGATTGTCAAAGCATGTTTATACTTGTGTAATGTCTATCCATGATTGTTGTTTACATTTGATTAATTGCATTCAAACATGCTTGCTTCCCTACTTTCCATAAATGTTCATGCTTTGAACTTGCATGTTGTGTTTGCTTTACTTGCTTGCTACCTGGATTTTCACACCTGTTTTTATGCTGAAACATGTGATGTTATAAATGTCTTGCTGGTGTGCTGGATTTTGTTGTCTTGTGCAGGAGGCGCTGTTGTAGCTCTTGTTTTTACCTTGTTTCCTTGTTTTTTCTTTTCCTTTGCATGTTCCCTTAGGACTCTTATTCCAATTTAATTTCCGATTAAATTTGGAGTAGGATAGACATTAGGATTTTAACCCATGCATGATAACAAGTAGGATAGTCTCTTTTAACCTCAACCTTAGGTCCATCTTTTGCATGCTAACATTAGGATAGAATCTTCTTTCGCATCCCAACCTTAGGACCACTTTGCATGACAATGTTAGTGTTGAGTTTCCCTTAGCCCTTTCGTGCTTCTCTCTTCTCATCTCAAAACACATCCTAACTCATCTAATAAATACGAAGAACATTGTACGCTACGAGCCTTAAGCACATGGGAAATGATGAGTGAGGGGTCTCCTTTCGCTTATCTAGAGTGTTTAGTGTACGTCCCGTTTGGGGGCGATATGCGACGCAATCGTTCCCATGTCATAGTCTTTAGTGCAACGTGAATCATAAAGCAAACTTAATTCACTTCACTAAAAATCACAAACAAAAGTCAAACCTTTTATCCT